GGATAAAAAAGCGTTTTAAAACTGTTAAATCGTATTTTATTAAGAATCGATGAACGTAGTTCAGACTCTCATATAGGTCGTGATGATTTTTTAGTTTTTTTTACAGGAAAAGTCTGAAAATTTTTTCAGGCTCAAATTAACTTCTAACAAAGGAATTGAACTGAACTTGAAAATAAATCAGAAGGTAATTTCCACTCTCGAACATCTAAAGTTAAAAGATCACGGAAGTGTCAATCATCAATTGTTTTAGAAAATTGAATAGCTTTAAGGCTCAGTTTTTTTCTTTGAAGTTTGAAAGTTGAGATTTTTTCAAAAAACAAGTCAGCTTTTTCTGTTCATTGTTTCTTTCCCAACTGTCTTTTGGCTTTGTTAGTTGATTTTAAGGCGTTTTTATTTGATTTGGACTTCATTTTCATCAGCTCACCTTTTGTAACGTTTGAGAAATCTATTAGATAACAAGTTTGAATTTCAAGATGAGGCTAGCTTCAAAAAGGTCAAGGTCAAATATCTAGACAGATTGACTTGAAGTTTTGAGCGCAGGACAGCGCAAGACAAGGAGGGACAACAGGGTAGCGCAAGGCAAAAGGGGAGCGGGAACGCAGAGCAAGGCAAGGAAGGGCAGCGTACGGCAGGGCAAGGAGGGTTAGGTAGGAAGGGCAGCGCAAGGCAAGGAGGACCATGGCAGCGTGAGGCAGGACAGTGCAAGGCAAGGCAGAGCAAAGGTCAGCGTGGCAGAGCGGCCCAAAGCATGGTTGGGCAACGCAAACCAGGGAAGGCAGCGCAAGGCAAGTAAGAAAGGGCAGGGCAGCTTAAGACAGGACAGCGCAAGGCAAGGAAGGACAAGGCAGCCAAACAAGGTATGGCATCGCAAGGCAGGGCAGCAGCAGGAGGGACAAGGTAAAGAGGAGCTTAGCAGCGCAAAGTTCGGCAGTGCAGTGGTAGTCATGGTAGTGCAAGTCAACACAGCGAAGTGCACGGCAGGGCAGAGCAAAGCAGTACAAGGCAGCGGACGGGTCAGCGCAGGGCAAAAAGTCATATCAGCAAGTCAGCGAAAGAAGCATAGCAGGGACGAATAAAGCACGGCAGCCCAGCCCAAAGCAGAGCAGGATAAGATAGGCAGCGCAATACAGGTCAAAGCGGTGCATCGAAGGCGGGTAGCGCAATACAGGGCATTGCGGAGCAAGGCAGAGCAGTGCAGTTCATAACAAAGCAGGACAGCGCAAGGCAAAGATAGCGTGTCAAGGCAATGATTGGCAATGCAAGGCAGCGTAGGGAAAGTCAACGTTAAGCATGGCAGTTCAGCGAAAGGAGAGGAAGGCAGGGAAGAAAGGCAAAGTAGGATAATTTTCATTTTAGGGTTTAAATTGTGGTCAAGGCCATAGCAGTTTTCTAATTAAGCACTCAGATTATCATAACTCCTCTTATATTAAAAACACAGCGGGGCGCTGTTTAGTTATTTGTTACTAAGCCTGAAAAGGGGGTTAAGAATGCAATAGAGGGGTCGCAGTAAAAGCATAGGTCACGAAAATTGAAAACAAGTCTCCGAGTCGTTCAGTTTTTTTTTGCTTTGCTGATGTCATTTGAACTGTCTAGTAAGTTGAAGAAAATAAATCACACTTTTTTTTCGGTGCAGATAAGTGTTGAAAACGAACGAGAGATATCTGTTTATTCACTAAATTATACTTGAAATCTCTGTTTTAGTGATGCGCGAGACTCCACTCGCATACTTGCTTAACAGGGGTCTACTCTATCACACTTCAATAAATGGAAGAGATACTATAACGGGAAGAGCCTTGACAAATATTAAAACAGTTCAAAATACCTCAACCGTTTTTGGCCGAAAGCATGCTTGAAGTTTTTCGTCACATTCTGCGAACTCAATCAAGCTATTAAAGCAAATTCAAATAGTTCAAATTTCAATCCTTTTTTAGCTTGCGTCAGGAGTATTTTTGGGACCCATCAAGGCAAATTGAATAGCAGATAGATAGATCATAAAGATAAATAAATAACTCTTTAAAACAATGCTTTTAAAATGCGATGGTTAATCATCCATTCTGCTGCTCCGCTAAACTTACCGATGATACATGCCTACTCAATACGACCGGATCATTTCTGCTTAACATGTTCAGCAATAGACAGAACTTAGAAGATAGTTTGAAATTGGGAAGATAGGCCGTGTTTAAACATGTAACGGGGATGAAGCTTGAACTTGCGTGTGCCATACGCTTTTAAGTTAGTGACTTTTAGTTGCACAATTCATGTATCAAAATAATTTTGAAATATTTCATGTAACTATCTCTTGGAATATTTCATGTTATTATCTATTGAAGCTAACAAGTTATATTGAAACTTTTAAAAATTCTACCGCTCTAGTCTCTGGATTCATAGGTTTAGCAGTTTTCCACTAATTTTTTTGCAGAAATTCTTGCTTCAACATTCAACGAATCGATTTCGTCCGTCAAAGGAAACTGAATTGGTTCAAAATCATCGTTTGAATAGTTTGTTTCCGAGATGAGGACTATCCAACTAAATTGAATGGTTTCAACTTACCAGTATTTGAAAAGCAATAGCTTGCTTTAAAGAAGTTTTGAAATGCTGACTCCAAGACTTTTTTTCTCGCGAATCATCGGTATCGAGGTAATTATAATTATTTCAGAGTTTTATTGCTTGATATCTTGCTTTACAAACTATTTTTTTCGCCTCTCAATTTTTTCCAAATCAACCATTAATTAACTTAAAAGCTATAAATTATAAATTCAAGCCAGACGGTCATTGCGCTGAGTTCAAATTTGAAGTTTCATCGCTTGAATAGCTCACTTCAGAAAATTATCTTTTATTTTGCAAAGCAATTCAAATAATCAAAACACCCTCAGAAGTTTTTTTGTCGTGATAGTTAGCTTCAAAATTCTTAATTTTTTTCTGAGCCTTTTCAAGCTGCACAAGTTTTCATTGCTTCATTAGGTTGCTTCACAAGTTAAAAATTTATGCGAACCTGTTTAAGGCATCAACTTGAGTTGATATCAAATGTACGCACTGTTGAATTTTACCTTCGATTTGGGTTTGTTAGTATTTTTGAAAACCTCTTCATCTAGTGGCTGGTCTGTGTTTTGATTAATTTTGCGCGCAAGTCCAACTTCCAACCCATTAACCCTGCAAAGAATTGAAATTACTTGATTTTGTAGTTTAGTTTCTTGAATTTTTATCATCTCGGGCGATATTCATGTTTATTTGGTGTTTGACCGGTTTACCAGCTGTCAACTAATGATGATTACTTTGAAATTGGGAAGCAGCAATTACATTTATAGTAGAATTGATCAGGTTTTGCTAGCTCAGATCAAAATCTTTTTTTTTCATTGATCTTTTGTGGTTTATCTGCATTTGAACTAAATTCCTGTATAAGGTATTGAATTTTTCATAAACTGAAGGTTATTAGTCTAGAGTCAATGCATGTAGTGAAGACTCTTTTTCAAGTCGTGATAATTTGTTTTGCGTTTTTAATCAGGATTTTTCGCGTTTTGACTTTTGTTTTTTAAGAGTAATTAACGTATTGAAGACCCTTATATTCCTTTTGGTACATCTAATTTTTTGTCAGTTACAATTTGTTTTCCATTTATAATGAAAATTTATAACCCAACTCGCAAATGAAAGTGCTCATTTGGTGGCTCAAAATCACAAATTATAGCATTGGCAATTTATTAGCACCTGTTGTCTGCTTTATTGGAATCAATTATTTTCCGATTTTCATGCGACCGTGGCACTCTTGCTGCATAGTGTTGACGTTTTATTAGCACCTGTAGATTTTACCGTGTAATTTCTATTTAGATTTTTCAAATTTTCGGCTATATTTGTTTAAATAGAATGATTCACTGCTGACTGCGGTTTTTAAGAGTAATCAACGTAGTGAAGGCTATTTTACAGGTCTTGCTGGTTTTTTTTTCAGGAAAAAGTCATAAAATGTTCTTATAACTACAGACGTGCATTCATACATATTAATGCATTTATTAATGCACTTAGGTATATATGCACTTTTTGAGTTCAATCGAAATTCATGTGCTGAAAATTACGTCAATAGCTCTCTGCAAATACGAACGTAGAAATGGCGCGAAAAAAGTGCCAATCAAGAATTTAATGCATTAGAGCTAACTTTAAATTGTTAGGTGCAATCAGATTGAACTTTTTCTTTGATATTTTTCTTCGATTTTTCCTTGAAGAAGAAAAAGAAGAAGAAGAAGAAGAGTTTTTTTCTCCAGTTAACATAATATGATACATCAACGTAAATTACACAAAATTAAACCGATTATTTTTTCATTATCTTCTATTATAATCAATAGAACAACTTGGAGAGGACAAGCTAAAGGCAAGCTAAGGTGCCCACTTACTGCCTACCCATAAATTTTAATTATTTCCACAAACAAAACAAAAATCTTTTTTTTTGAATAAATTTTAATTTTTCGACTTTCATTTCTTCCTTATTTTTTCCAAGTATTAGACGCCCAAGGCAACAATAAAAAAACATACCTATCACAAACTACAAACATATCGATCCAAATCTAAGCTTTCTAGGATAAAAGGAAAAAACTTGCGTCAGAAAAATCCAAAAAATCATAAAAACATCGATTCCTTGTTTCTAATTAACAATTTAGTGCATCGCAAATGGTGCGAAGCTCTGTTTCGCTTCTGCGTATCATACCTCACCTGAGAGCTTTCTTTGAGGTAGTCAAAATGAACTGGAGAAAAATCCAACCCGCGCTGTTTCGAGAGTTGTCGGAACAAAAAGAAGAGAGCCAGTTTATTGAAATTTGTACGGGTCCAAATCTTTTCAAATCCTTCGGTATTTCAAAAGATTCCAAATCTCTGGGTATTTAGGAAATATAGAAGTATTTTTCAAATATCCATATATCGTTTACTGATATCAGCTGAAAAGATTGTAAATGACTTCATGAAAAAATGGATCATCCAAAAATGATAGTTCGGTCATCGCTCATTTAGTTTTTTCTTAGGAGTTGTAACAGCAGATGATGAGCAGTCTTCTAGCAACTCTGTAGGCAATTCCAACTGCGCCATTGTTCAAAACCTCAATTCACTAGCCCAGGCCAACCTGAACGAGAGAATTCTTTTCAACCCCAGTAGTGATTCAGTGCCAAGTAACCTTCTGCAACCAACTCAAAATGTGAACATCACCCAACTGTCGGCCGAGACTGCGAAGCTAGTAAGCACTCAGTTGTCCAATTTCGTCCATCAGCAACAACAACAGCAGCAACACCAACAGAAACAACTGCAGTCGGTAAATTCTGTGGTCGGTAATAGTGTGGGTGGTGCTTCTGGGTTTGTTCAACAGACGGGGGCCGGGGGACCCTCTAGCAATATCCCCCACGGTGCAATAATGACAAATAATGTGGCTATGGTCAGTGCAGTGACGTCTTCGGAAACATCTTCCCTCCATCACCAGCCGAGTGAGTTAGACTACCGCAACTCCTCCCACGGGGGTGTGTCTGGAGGCGTGCCCAGCTACAGCAACGTGACCAGTCCTTCTGCCTACACCAGTCCGAGCGAGGAGGACGAACATATGGATGGATCCAATGATTTGATATCCTCAGACAACGAAGACATATCCGACATCAACAGGTACCACAAATTTATGGTCTAATAATCGCAAAGAATGAAAGTTTAGCTTTGAGTAGAGAAGTCATGCATGCAAAATATCACATTGCATGTAGCTCTAATAACAAACAATTTTGAACTGAAACGGAAGAGGTGCATAGAGTTATATATTATTTGAAAACTTTTCTTGCCTAAAGCTTTCTGAGAAGGTTTTATCATTTCAGCAGTGACAGGTTTGTTCATGTTCCTTTTTTTTCAGACAGATCGACAGAAGGGTAAATTTATTTTTGTCTTCAATAGATCCTTGTTGCACAGTGGCAACCTAGAGCGCGGACCAAATGGCAGCTACCAGAACAGTGGTAACGCCACTCCTGGAGGTGGTTCCGGAGACTACTCTGGAGGCGGAGGAGGAGGAGGAGGAGGTATCCAGCAGGTCAACATGGCCAACGGAGTGGGGTCTGAACTGCCGACGATGGTAATGAAGGATGACCTAGACCATAGTCAACCCAATCAATGCAACAATGATGCTACAACTATATCTTCTGACAGCTTTAGGTAGAACATCGTTTATTCATCGGTTACTCCTTTTTGCAAAAAAAAGACGTTCGAGATGTATGCTCACTTTTTCCATATTGCCAAGAATGTGAGACTGTGAGTTACTGGATTCATTATCGATTAACTTTGTTTTACATATTTTTTCTGGCACTTAATAAACATATTAAGTAGAGCAATGATCTGTCATAAAAATGTTTGAAAACTACAGATATTGTCTTTCATGGCTGGTGATTTTGATAGTAGCTCATTTTTCATTGACCAAGCATTAATTTTGTTATGGTGTATTACTCCAGACAAGGCATAGAACAACAATCATAACTGCAAGCATATGAGTGTTAGTGGTGCAGGTTTTGTTTATTCTACACTGCAAATTGCAATATGATGATACATGATTGAAACTGGTTAATTTTTGTCAATCAAATTGATGAAAAAGTGTCATTTTATTTCATTATGTGTCTGTCATTGAGCAAAATGACTTTTGAGTTCTTGATTTTAATTCAAAATAATTTGCGAAATGGAATCATGTTGCGCTTTGCAATAATAGAATAAGATTGGTGTAAAAGCGTTCCAGAATTTTAGTACAACCCTTTGATTTTAGTTTTTTTTTTCTAAATTGGGTTATTTTTGCGAAGACGTCAATTAAACGGAAGAGTCTTAAGGTGTCATTTATTAATAAATCATAGAACGACATTTGAAAAAATTAAAAGGAATCAGTCCTTTTTTGTGCTTCCTTGAATTCATTGTCATGTTACCGCCCGTCTGTTGATTGTTTTAACGATAATTAACGGCGTGGTTAATCATTTCCTCAGACTGAAATTTTCAACAAAATTCTTGAATTTTATCGAGGTTTTTTTTAGTAGTGAAGTTTATTCTGTAGGCGAAGGAGCAAAAATGGTGTCGTTAAGCTCTCAAAAGAGAACCTCTTGTACCCATGCTGAAGCACAACATGTGTTTTTTTGTTCCTGTGCTGCGAAATTTTACCGCACTTTCAAGTAGTGAGCATGCTGCGTCTCAAAGGACAACCGACTTATTGCGATACTAAAGCACAAGCAACCTCACCTATGCTTTGCTTATCAAATGTCTCGACCTGAATAACAATGCGGAATCTGTTTCAGTGACTCGGGTCTGACGAATGGAGTGGCGGGTGGTGCAGCAGGCGGTGGCACTGGGGGAGCTGCGGTGGGACAACATCCACACCATCACCATGGCAACCAGCTTAGACACAAGAGACCCTTCGAACACTCCTCCTGTCCCATCGCCATGTACAGTAGACACACTTTGGTCCAGCAGTTCCCTCACAACCAGGAGGGAGTCAGTCTAGAAGTGGTCAATCAGCCAGAATCAAGACACAGGCCTAGGTGAGAAATCCTGTATTAAGAGCCGAGTAACGTAGTGAAAGGTCATGATGAATTTTTTCGTTTTTTTTTCAGGAAAAGTTTTAAATTTTGTTCAGGCTCTAATTTATTTTTTCGCGGGTTTCGGCTCTGTGTTGACCATAGTACCAGCTCGAATGTTGAATTATTTTAGAATAAATTTTATTATTTTTGATTTATAATGTTAATTAAAAAAGCAAAGCTGAAGTTATAGCATGAAATATCTTTTTTTTTCAACATAAGTTGCAAATATTGTTGCGTCAAAATGTGTTCATTTTGAAAGTGTTAATTTCGATCATTAACCAGCTATTAAATACAGCCAATGCTAAGGATATTAACACAGACTATTATATAACAAATTAGCTTCAATGTATCATGGATCTGTAGCGTAGAGGTAGGGAAGGAGACGCACAACAAAATAAGAGGGTTCAAACCTCGGCAGTGTCGGATGTTTTCAATGATCTTATCGTACACTAGTTAAAATGCGTCCGCGTATTGCGTCTTTTGGCAAGAAAAGATGTTTTTATGTGTGTGTGTGTGTGTGTTTTGAGCGTGAGGAGGACTTAATAACTTTTTAGTGGTCTTTTTTTGTTTTTTTTTCTGGCTTTTTTAAAAATTTTTTGGCTGAATAGGTTTCGGCCTTGATTATCGGCTTGTTGAACTCATATGGTTTCATTTTCATTCGACAAGCAAATTTAGTTTTTTGTTTTGAGGGCTAGTGTGGCTTTTCAATTCATTTTGATAGATCTGGTTTTTTGACATTTCGATTTTTTTTCTGACATAGCTGCTTACTTGTTTTAAATTGCAAGTGGTGCGAAGCTCAGCTTCGCCTCTATGCCTGACATTGCTTTATTCCCATTTTCTTCTTGACTTTTTTGAGAAATATGTTGCGGATCATTACACAACTATAGCTTGTGTTAAAAAGTTATTTTCGCCTAGGTTGTGTTTGAACGCTTTTACTGATACCTCGATTCTCCGTCCTTTCATATGAAAGCCCCTTTTTCGGAACTCGGATTATAAAAAAATTAGAGAAAATTTTGGTATTGGAAAAAGCTATTTTATATTCCCTTAGTCATAACTGAAAGCATAGTCACATTATAGGAGTCGACCTATTTCCAACCAAAGTTGAAGTTTTGTTTCTCATTGATGAAGGACGATAGCTTAGTGCATCTGGCGAATTCCACAGTCTGCTCTGGGGATTTTTGGTTGCACTTCTTATCGGTGGATATTTAAACATTTGGTAAGACCACAATCAGGGTTGCGAACATTTACCATATAGTGGTGGGTCCCTCCTGAGAGCGCTATCCCCATAGTTCTCCATGTTAAACCGAATTCGCCTGTTTCTTCGATTGCAAATGCACATTGACTGGATCTGATTTTTTTTCAAGCGGGAAGTTTGAGGTTTCAAAAAATTTGTCGGCGTATTATTTGTCTGCTTATGTCGGCTTTGTTGTCACATCGTATAATTGTTTATTTTGCTCTACGCTTTTCTCATTGTAGTGGAGGGGGCTTGAACAATTTTTATTCTCTTTTATGTCTTTTTGATTTTTTTTTTGGCTCAAACGGTTTCTGCTCCTGTACTTTTGGCTTTTTTTACCGCTTGTTAAATTTTTTCTGATGTTAATTTCAATTCTTTTGTCTTGGCATGTTTGTTTTTGAAACTAGCTTTATTCCATTTGGTACATCTAATTTTTTGTCAGTTACAATTTGTTTTCCATTTATAATGAAAATTTATAACCCAACTCGCAAATGAAAGTGCTCATTTGGTGGCTCAAAATCACAAATTATAGCATTGGCAATTTATTAGCACCTGTTGTCTGCTTTGATGGAATCAATTATTTTCCGATTTTCATGCGACCGTGGCACTCTTGCTGCATAGTGTTGACGTTTTATTAGCACCTGTAGATTTTACCGTGTAATTCCTATTTAGATTTTTCAAATTTTCGGCTATATTTGTTTAAATAGAATGATTCACTGCTGACTGCGGTTTTTAAGAGTAATCAACGTAGTGAAGGCTATTTTACAGGTCTTGCTGGTTTTTTTTTCAGGAAAAAGTCATAAAATGTTCTAATAACTACAGACGTGCATTCATACATATTAATGCATTTATGAATGCACTTAGGTATATATGCACTTTTTGAGTTCCATTGAAATTCATCTGCTGAAAGATACGTAAATAGCACTCTACAAATACGAACGTGGAGATGGTGCAAAAAACGTGAACGACTTCTAGTTTCGAAAGTGGAATTTAATTTGTAGATTTCCAGCGGAATAAAAACTTAACATATTGATCCAGTTTTCTCAAATTGGGTTAGTGTTATCAGAAAAGTGCAAGTGATAAATTGTTTAAGGAAATCAAGAAGCTTGAAGGGCATGGCATCTATTTTTTACTTTGAATTCAATTTTGTTACTTGCGTTGATTACTCTTTTCCAACTGTCAGTTGGTTATGTTTTGTTACTTAGGGATATACGGCTGTTGAAGCACCATGGTCTAGTGCAGTGTAGGATACCTTTGAGGCGGCAGGTTATAGTTTTGATCCCTGGCTCTCCTACGTTGTTTTTTCAACGCTTTTCTTTATTGAAGGCTTTTTTTATTTCAAGGAATGGATTCGTATTTATTTGCTGGGAAAATTTCTTGGATTTTTTCATTATTGTTATCTCGAATGTTGGCTCGATTTTTGCTTTTGATATCTGACCATTGTTGAGAATTCGCATGCGAAATAATTGTAATGCTATAATTTATACTTATTTTAAAATCACATTTGACAAAAGATACTAAAAGTGTCGGACTCCTTAACAATTTTAGTACATTTTTAAACTTCTTAGCGAATTAGCGTTTTTTCTTAGCTTGCTAGTTTTTTCCGCTAAAGAATCATAATCTGTTTTCAAAAACATCTTCGATATTGCTGTCACACCTCTGATTATGGTCAACGTTTGTGCGACGTTTCTTTGTTGTACCTAATTTTTCGTGAAAACAAATCATCCATTGGAACCCTAAGTTTACTTTCATACAAATAGAAGAAATCTTAATCGAGTTTTGTAGTTCCATCTTGCCAGATAATGTCTTTGTACATTTTGAAAACACCGCTTCTTATCTTCATTCTTTTTTGTGTTCATATTATAAACTACCTATAATTTTTTTTTACTTACAAAAATTCTGGCAATTGCTTGCATCAGCGGCAATATGAAAGATTTGAAGCTTGTTTATGTCATTAGCAAAGAAGCGCACTCGACGTTATATGTTCTTAGTAGTTTGATAGCTTCAAAAAAGTTATTGCAAGAATGATTTTCATACTTTTAGATATCTAACGGAGGGAAGTCGCGGCTCCGTCAAAGACAGGACGGGAAACGGGTACCCGGCAGTTAAACTCTCTGGATTTAACCAGTGCCCCCTCACTGTCCAGGTATTCATAGGAACAGACACCGGCAGACCCAAACCTCACGGATTCTTCCAGGCCTGCAGAGTGACCGGGCGCAATGTGATCTCATGTCTGGAGAGGAACATTGACGGAACTCAGATCATGGAGATAGACCTGGATCCAAAAAATGACATGCGGGCTGAGTGAGTTCAGTTGTTGAAATCTTTCAAAATCTTAACTCATTTCATGGCACAAAGAGCAGTTATGTTTTCACTAGCGAGAGCAAGTAACTTATGGGGAACAAGACTTTTCCTGTAAACAACTTTTCTTTCAGTTCTGCATCAATTCTGTTAACATGCTCAATTTCATGAAATTTCAAATAAAACTACTTTATAGTTCTAGTGAGGCAGGTACTATTATATGTATTGAAAAAATGTTTTTTTTCGGATTTGTGGTTTCCGTCCTAACTTCGGTCGGCCGATTTTCCTTTTTTTTATGTTCAAATGAAATTTATATTATCTGGCACGCTTTTTCAGCAGTTTTTTTTCAAAGCTTGAGTTTTTATCAAAAGTTTGGCTCAAAATCTACTTTACGGATTTTCAAAGAAGTGGTTCCAATACAAAGACCACCCACTCCTCTGTCTGCCTGCTTAATCCCTTAGTCTTTTTCTACCTTACTCTACTTTCTGCGGCCTTAGAAAAGTTACGTGGGAGGAATTTTTGACTCATTTTTTTTTCATTTTCGAAATCCACTCTCCCAACTCAGAATTTCGGGTTCAATCAATAAATTATGTTGTGGGAAATTCCCCTGCATTTGCTTTTATGCATAAAGTTATTTCCACAAAAAGTTTGTTTTTGACAGGTTTTCGAAGTTTCTTAAAAACCAGTCTCCCAAACTAAAAATTTTGGGTTAAATAAAAAAATGGGATGTGGGAAGCTCCCCTGCATGAGCAGATATCCCCTAAAATTTTTGAGAAAAAAAGTTATGGCCTTTGGTTAAGTCAAAACTAACCTGCCAATTCTCAAATAAATGTTTCAATCGAAAAAACCTAGTGAGTTTCTTTGCTGCGTAAGCTGGTACACCATATTTTTTGTAGAAAAAAGCTCTAAGACTCGGAAAAATCAAATTTGATTTTTTTAAACCGTTTTTGCAATCTTTTTGACTGTTTAATATTTACCCTAGCCAATTATGAGATTATTGGTTAAATCGAAGACTGTTTGTGAAAATTTTGCCTGCAGAAGCGTTGAATCCTTAGTTTTGGTATGAAAACATGTTAAGTCCTTGGAAGCGTCCAAATTTTGAAGTTTTCGCGGTTTAACAAATTTTTGCAAAATTTTTTCCCTCTTGGAAACTACCCTGACAAACCTGAGATTTAGAGCTCAATCACAAAAATATGTTAAAAGTCCACTGCCCTATTCAATTTCATTTTTGGTCCATTTACAAGAACGGGTAATGGGATTCTCCCCTGCACTATCGGCTGATCAGTCTTAGTAGAGAAAAATTAAGGTTTTGGGTCTTGGAATACCTTTCATCCCCCATCGGTAAAAACTTATTCTATAAGATATCAAACAGGTACCTTAAGCTGGCCCCCTAATTTTAACTAATATTGAAAGTTGTTCTGTTGTTTGTAGTTTACGAACTCTGATTTTGAATATTTTTTTGCTTTTTTTTCTGTTAGACGGGTTCGACTTGTGTTTTATTGGCTTTGTCAATTTATTTTGCGTATTTTCAAAGGCGAATTTCAAACTGATTTTGCCTTTTTCAGGAGGGATGTGTATTTACCCTTGTGATAAGCAAGGGTATTGAAATCGGGTACTAGACTTTTTTTTACCGTAAATAACTTATAACTTTAGGCACAGGATCTGCACTTCTAGAATCTCTTCTGACATGCTCAATTTCATGAAAATTCAATTAAAAGTACTAAGTAGTAACAAAGTAGTTACTTAAGTAGTAATTAGTCCAAGCCCGTTTCAGGTTGTAATTATCTTTTTAAAAAAATTCAAATTGCAATTTTTTAGGGTTCGTGGTTATCATCCTAGTTTCTGACGGTATATTTTCCGTTTTTTGAGAGTCCTTTTTTCATCTGGTAGGGTTTCTATTGGTTCACTTTTTGAAGCATAGATTTTGCGTAATTTTGAGAGGAAAATATATCCGTTTGGGATTAGGTGGTGCAGTTTTGATGGGTCGTAAAAACTTCTGAATTTTGTGAAATTTTTTTACGACAACAGTTTTGTTTTCGGCTCAACAGGTTTCGACCCAAAGTTTGTCACCTTTTTGCCGCTCGGTAAATGATATTCATCTGTTAAAGGCTGTTTATGACAATCGTGAAGTTTTTGTTTAAGTAATTTTTTCAACTTGATTTTTTAAAAGTTTTATTTGAGTTTTGTCTTTTTTTCTGTTCTCTATCTTGTAGCGCTATAAGTTTCTGCATCGCAAATTTTCTTTATGATTATTTTTGTATAAATTAATAGCATATTTTTTTTATGATTATTTTTGTTTTCGGCTTAACGAGGGTCGACCCAAGTTTTTTGCCTTAATGGACAATCGTTAATTAATTCTCATTTTTATAGGGCCTTTTATGAACATAATCAGAGCCAAAGATATGAAATTTTGTAGATATAGTTTTTTCGACTAACTTTCTCAGCTTAATTTTCCAAAGTCTGCCTCCCTTTTTTTTGTATCAACATGTGGTAATGCGGCGTTTTTATTACATCTTAACTTGCGAAGCTCCGCTTCGCCTCTCTGCGTATCCTGTTTTTCAGAAAAACACTAGTCTAGGGACTTGAATTTCTGTATTGTGATGTTGTTAGGTTTCAATTTCTGTTAAAACTAAAACACTCGAATTCGAAGTTCTTTTCCACTATACTGATAGGTACGGTACAAAACGATTGTCAATTATTGTAGCGAAGAGTCTTGAATAGGTCCTGGTGTTGTTTTTTGGGAAAAGTCTTAAATATGTTCCCGCTCAAGTTTGATTTTTTGCGGCTTAACTTGTGATTTCCTTTAAACGCATTTCCTTCTTTTTAAGTTCAAAAGAAAGCATATTCCACTATCGAACAGCAAAACTGTAAAAGTTTTAAAAATGTCCTTCTTTTTTATCAAAGCAGAGCTTTCTTGTTAAAACATGGCGACATTATTCAATAAAGTTCACACATTTGTTCAATTCAAAATCATTTGCAAAAAGGAAAGCAAATTAAGTGCCGAAGTGCAAATGGCGCGAAAAAGCGTGAACGAGTTCACTGTCGAAATGAGGTCTTACTTTCGATTTTTCTTTTGGAATAGGAAAATAATTTTTGAGATTTTGGTTAGTTTTTATCAATAAGATCTCTCCTGAAAAATTTTAAATATCCTTTGGCCTTTACCCATTTTTTCGGCTGTTGTCGCTGGAAGGAATATACTAAAACATATACGGGCTAGATAGAATTTGTTATTGTTCGATAGACAAAATGATGAATCTCAAAATTAGTACAAGCAAAATCAGTTCATTGCTTCCTATTAAGAGATGAACGATATATTTAGTGATAATTTTTTTTTCAGGAAAGTTTTAAAATTTCTTTCGATAAAATGTGATTTTTTTGCGGTTTGAGTTTTGATTTTCATAAGTTCAGTTCATTTCCTGTGTTAATTAAAGCAATGCAAATTCGACTATCGAATAGCGAAAGTGTAAAGGTCACGAAAATCGTGATCGACTTCCAGTTTCGAAAATAAAATTATATTTTTCAGATTTCCCAGCGAAATAAACAAATTTGCCTATTAATCCAGTTTTCTCAAATATGGTTAATTTTATCGCAAAAAAGTCTATTATAAAAAGTCTATAAGTTTTTCCCAGCGCAATAAAAACTTTACCTATTAATCCAGTTTTCTCAAATTGGGTTATTTTTATCAAACAAAAGTCAATCATAAATTTTTTCCGAAATTTACAAATCCCTAAGGCCGAGTATTTGTTTTTTTTTTGAAAGTCGAAGTTCAAGATTTTCTTTAAAAACCAGTCAGTAATTTTCTTGTTTCTTTGCTTTCATTGACTCTACTTCTGAATCTAGAATGGTCTTCAAGATTTTGTAGGTCAGTGTTGCAGACAATACTAACTCGATACAACTGCAAATTTAGACAGCTCCTGTCGTTTTTTTTGTCTGAGGGACTTTGTGAATTTTTTATGCTTGCGAGCGCAGTGTTTTTGTACGTACCTTATTTTTTTCTATCCTAACTCGCAAATAAACGCCTAACTCGCAAATAAAAGTGAAAATTAAAAAAGTGCACTTATTTGCTACGACGTTTGCTATAATCACGATCTGTAGCATCGGAAGTTTCATAGCATCTGTTCTCTGCTTTGTTTTTGGCTAGTGTTTGTGATTTATTAAGCGTCCGTGGCTGAGTGGTTAGTGCGTGAGACTCATAATTTCTAGGTAGCAGATCGAATCCGAGACGTAGCCGCCTTTTTACTAATTCGATGCTTGTTTCTTTTTTTTTCTTATTTTAGTTTATAGAGCTGTTTTTGTCTGTTCTCGCTAGTGTTTGCTAAGCGCAGGTTCGCCTCTGTGTTTGTTTATAAGATGATCCAGCTTAAAACATTGAACTTCTTTTTTTGTGATAAAATAGCCAAAACATAGTTTGAGAGCCTAGTATTTTTTCAAAAGGAAACTGAAATTGAAATGCTCGTTTCGAAAACTTGTGACTTGTTTTAAAAAATATTCACTACTTAATAAGCTTGCTTGAGAAAACTTCAGTTTTTGCGAACCGATTTGCGCTATCAAAAAATATATAATTTTTTAAATTTTCATTGCTGGATGAGCTTGCTCAAGAAAGCTTCATTAAAAAAAACCGGTATGAACTATAGAATAACTATCTCATTTCGTCGCTGAATTTGCTTGCATAAATAACAAAATCTACCATTTTTTGCGAACCAGCTCAGTTTTTCAGTTTTTTTTCTGATTTGTCGTGAACCGATTTGTCCTCTGCAGTAACAAGAAACATTGGTAATTCCAGTCCTTCCTGAGCGTGCTTGCAAACTTTACGCTTGCAAACCGATTTGCGCTAGCACAAATCTTCGAAAGTGAAATCTCTCTGATGATGTGCGTAAAAAAGTTTTTTGCGCTACTGAAAACAATAATGCTTCAAAATTTCATCGGTCGATTTGTTGCGAGGCGATTCTTTCTGAGTAACTTAACATTTTAATGTTTTATCATTTCTGAGCTTTTCTTGACAAATTTAATCGGCTTGCGCTCTCAAAAAAACTTTTCCAAATGTTGCCGCTTCAGTTTGCTTGTAAACCTAGATTTTTGCAATTCATTTCACTCTGAAATAACTAAAACCTTCTAGATAATAATTGCTTCATGAGTTTGCTTAGGCAGTTTGCGGTGTCAAATAATTTGATTTTTCAAGTTTTTGCTGTTTGAGAATTCCGGCGCTCGATGAGTTTGATTAAGAACGCCTAATTTTTTGCGAAACAATTTTCTCTGATATAACTTACTTTCTGCTAAACTGCTTAAAAAACTGTCATTTTTTTCGAAACGAATTACGCGATCAAAAAATTCGAATCATTTAAAAGGATCATCGCTTGATGAGTCTGCTAAAAAAATTCTTGACTCGATTCGTCCTTTGAAATAACTTGAAATATTTCATCTCTTGATTAGAAGGTTCTAAAAAACTCCATTTTCTTGCGAACTGATTCGCGCTATCAAAAATTTTGAATAATCACCTAGTTTATCTTACAAAAGTTTTGAAACTGTCTTGCTCAAACAATTTTCAATTTCAACAGTTTTTATAGCTTTTTTTGTTTTGGGATCATTGAGCGACCTAGGCCTAAACAGGTTTTGGCTCAAGAAACGATGTTTTATGGCCCCTCATTTAAAAAATAATATTTGAGGCTGTTTGTTGTTTCTTGAATATTTTTCTGAAATTTTTTTCACTTCGCAAAATGGTCTTTCGATTTCGTAGTTTTCGTATTTTCTTTTTGCTTACTTGCAATGCTGACATTTCTTTTCCTTTGTTAAAAGGAATACAAGTTCCCTTATCGAACAGCAAAAATGTTAAGGTCCCAAAAACGTGATCGTTTTCTAATTGCGAAAATGGAATTTAATTATCAGATTTTCCAGCAAAATAAAAACTTTACTTACTGATCCAAATTTCTCAAATTGAGTTATTCTTTATCAAAAAAAGTTCCAATCATAAATTGTTCTAGAAAATCAAAGAGCTGAAAGAGCGTATATTTTTTCTCTGAAATTCGACTGAGTTTTTTTTGAAAAAACAAGCCAGTATTTTTATGCTGTTTACTTGCGTTCATTGACTTTTTTCAACTGCCTGTTGATTATGTTTTTGTTTTTGGCTGTAAGGTTTTTACCCAATTATTGTAGTTGAAATGACCGCTTGGCAAGCACTACTAAACGCTTATTTAACTTTGATCCTTGTAGATTGAGACTGTGTTTTCCTGAAAATGATTCTGTTGAATATCTTTTGATTCAATTTTTTCGCCCGTTTTCTGTTCGCCTGTTTGCAATACTAGGCTTGCGTTTCATTGCGATTGTTGCGAAGCTATGCTTTATCTCTGTGTTTAAAATTGATGTTCTGCAGTAGGTCGTGGGATTGCTTCTGACGTGGACTGGTTTTTGATTGAGATTATCAATAGCAAATTAGGAGCAATGATAGCCGGTTATTGTGCAAGTAGCACAGAATAGTCCAGATACAGGATAGTTCAGACCATAGTCTTAAAAATACAAAGTAAATTTCTTTTTTCAAATAAGTTATGTTTTCTTTTCTGAATGGGGTGACAAAAGGATCTGAGCGAAAAACTAGAACTCCGTTAATCATTGTAAATTAGGCAAATTTGAAAACAGTTTTTGTAGAAAAATGATTAGAAAACAAAAAATTATTAAAAAAAAATGAGTTAAAATTTCTCAAAAAGTAATACTACTCGAGTAAAACTAAAAGTAGGAAAAAATAAACTATTGTTAACGGCTTACGGTAAGGATTCAAAGGCCTGCTCGCTCGCTTTATTCGCTCGAAATATGAACAAAAATCGAAAATTTTGAATGGGTTTTTCGCGACCTTGAAATTTTTTTAGTGTCTTTCGAATCACGACTAATAAGGATTTAATATTATTTATCGCTCAACCCAGTCCGATGATTATTTGTGGTACCTGATTTTGCGTAGAAAAGAATAAGAAAAACATAAAACAATCCGAATACAAAGTCTTTCCCGGTTTTTAAAATGATCGGAAAAATGAACGTTTTTAGAATGATTTGTATTTCGACGGAATTATGCAATCTGCGATTTCGCTTTGTGTCTTAAATTAATTATCTTTAATCATCAAGTGTTTGAAAAATGCGAGTCATGAAAGTTCACGTTTGATGTTTTCTGTTATGCATTGCAAAGTGATCGTTTTTTTTTGCTAGTGTGAGTTTTTGTATGCTGAAAGATAGGCTTTGGCCGTTATCATATAAACAGATTGATACAATTTGAACTCTTTATGCCATGCTTTGACCGATAATTCTCTCGTAAATTTTCAATAAGTTTTTCGTCTGCTCAAAGAACGTCTACTACTGATCGTGATAAACTAAATATGAAACAAAATATGCGTCAAAAGATCTTCAAAGCATTAGTCAGCATCATATATGGCAAATAAATTTCAAATTTGTTCTGTTCAGCAATTTTATAACCATGTAACCATGCCTTCTTTTTTGGCTTTCCGAGCTTGACAACTTGAAATATTACGCGCAAATCATATTCTGGCTACTTAAATTTGTCAATATTTTAGAAATTTATTTGTTGTTTAATGGTTTCTAATAGCCAAAATTTTGCAGCAAAGTTAGCAAAATCATGTTTACTTTGTTAGGTTTCGATAAGATTGACTTTGATATTTGGTTGAAGGTACACAGTTCCTCTTCAAACGGTTCGCTAAATTTGCTCGAAAAAGATGGGCGTTTGGATTGTGTTTCGTTCGTCCGTTAATGAATCTCGACCAATAAAAGTTTGTGTTTAACAGTGAATATCAAGCGAATGTCAGGTGGGGTTGTTTTGTAGAGTTGAAATTACCCTGTCACCTCCTGCGTAAAATAACTAAATACCTCAAAGGAAAGCATTGTTTGGACAACTCACAAGTGTGATCTAGCTGTTGTTGGGATGTAAACAACTGGATTGTTAGTTTCTGGTTTGCTTAAAATTGTTGGCACATTTAAGTTCTTATTGTTTCGTGCCATCTTTGGAATAATAAACCAGTTAATGATCCCATGACCTATACATCTGGCCATGCGACCTTGCTCATTACGAACAAACAGCACCACTGGCATTTTGTGTTTCGACCAGAAATGCACTAGTTTGAAGCTCTCGAAATAGCTTCAAAGGAATATTTCGTGACAGAAGTTTTTCCAATTGTTTTTAAATAACTACGGCTGAGGCTATAACATGAAGTTATCAGCTAAATAATGTTTGAACTATAAACGTACTTTGTAGTATTAAATCGGATGGATGCTACTGGCGTTGTAAACTTCATAAACATTTTTTTTTATGTAAATAAACAAAAAAATTCTTTTGATCCGTAGATGGTCCAAACAAACGAAAATGAATATATCCTAAAATTTGTCGTTTTATGATGTTAATCCCGTTTTATAATAACAGAACAGTTTACTCTTAGTCGTTTTAAAAAGAAAACGAGCTTGGCGCAATCAAAATTGTTTTTTGATTTATTCGGTATAGCATGATTAAATTTTCTGTCATACTGATTATTTTGATAAACAATAGTCAAACGATGCTTAGATTAATTTTCGAACTGCTCAGCCATAAATAAAAGTAATGTGCCTTGCGCTTTAAAACATGATTACTAGATTTAATATGCCTTAATTCGAGTTTGTTTGAGTTAAAATGAATTTCTGTTTCAGCATCGACTGTATTGGGATTCTTAAGTTGCGCAACTCGGACGTGGAAGCCATGGTGAGCACTACGAGGTCGAGGAAGAAGTCACAGAGGGCGAGGATGGTGTTCCGAGTGTGTGTGCCCAGAGCAGATGGCTCTTCATTCACTCTACAGACCATGTCAGATACAATACAGTGCTGTGAGTTTCTCAAGACTGCTTTCATTTGCGAGACCAAGTCACCTGTAATCGGGAATTACACCTTTTCCCGCAAATAATTTCTCCTACACTTTCTGCCGACATGCAAAATTCTAACATCCTCACATATTGACAATCTAAATCATGATAATATAGGTTTTGAAAAAATGTTGATATTTTGGATTTGTGGTTTCCGCCGTCCTAATTTCTGTCGTCTGGTTTTCCGTTATCTTTTCTAATACAATTTATTTTATCTGTAAGCTTTTCAAGTGGTTCTTTTTCAAAGCTGGGTTTTTGAAAATTTTTGATTAATTGAAGGTTGCTCTGTTTGTTAATTTATCAACACTGATTTTTATTAATTTCATAACTTTTTTTTCGGTTAACCGGGTTCGGCGTATTTTATATCGGCTAAGTCAACTTTTGATGCGCAGTTGCAAGGGTGAATTTTGTTAAATGTTTTTGCTTGTTTCAGTAATGATGGGTCGTAAAAATTTTACTTAAAAAAGTTTTGTTTTATAGTATAGATATTTAAAAAAATTCAAACTATAAAACTTTTTAAAGTAAAATCTACTGTTTCATTTTCGGCTTAGCGAGCGTCGACCCGAGTTTTTTTTAACTAAGTTGAGGCTCCGTAATTAATTCACAATACTTGTTAAGGCTGTTCAGGAACATCGCCCGAGACAAAGCTATGAAGTTTTTGTAGATAGCGTTTTTTGGACTTTTTTCAAGATTTTTTTCCAGCTTAATTTTTTGAAAAGAATTTTTTCTTCTCAATAATTTGCAATTCAATGTTTTAATTTATCGCAAGTATTGCAAAGCTCCGCTTCGCCTCTTTGTCGGAAATTTAATTTGTGGTATCGGGCAGATTTAGAGGGTGCGGGGGCGGGTCCCCCCTTTAGAACTTTTTAAGAAATCCATTTTTGGCTGAACGACTCTAAAATTTTTCTCAAGGCACCTTGGGCGCCAATATATACTAATATGAGGCAGAGCGCGTGCCAAAAAACGCGGTTTATTAGCCAAAATATTCCAAAAAGTGCCCAAAAACGGCGTTTTTGACCTGTTTTTTTTTGTCAAAAAAATTTATTCTAGTGTTCTGATCATAAACCCCCTACCCCTACCGTCCTCGAGAAAATCCTGGGTCAGCCATTGCGTGCAATGCTCAACGGCTTGCTTATTGCGGTTTTATTGCATATTGAATTTTTGATTATTGTACAAATTTTTGTGTTTCTGCGACGCTAATTTTTCAAATGGTGTCTTCCATTTAATTGCAAAATTATTGCTCGAAACATTTTTTAGCTTTAATGAAACAGCATGAGATATATTTTTCTGTATGGTTTTTATTAGTCAAGCATATGTGAGTGTTAGAATTGGCCTCAGTGGGGTAGTGATTTTTTTCCTAGAAATTGGCCGTAGGCTCAATACCGCGGTGTTTCAGTTGTCTAGTTGGAGAATTTCTTTTTGAATAAGAAGTTGTTTTGTTGCTAGTGTATGCAAAATCAGGTTTTGTCTCTGTGTTGACCATAGTACCAGTTCATATATTGAGAATAAAATTGACTAGTTTTGATTAACAATGTTATTAATGAATGGAACTTTTACTTTTTCGCGTTTTCCCTTTTGATTTCTTTAATTCAGTTCAATTCCTTTGTTAAAAAGAAGGCAAACTCCACTATCCAACAGATCAGAAAATTTGAAATGGTCGAGGAATTGATGTGGCGAAGTACCGGAAATTGAATTGCAGATGTTTTAATTTATCGCAAGTATTGCGAAGCTCCGCTTCGCCTCTTTGTCGGAAATTTAATTTGTGCAGGGGCAGATTTAGATCTTCATCCTAATTTTATTACTCACGATACTTAAGCTTCGAAAATGACGCTTTTTTTCTAATCGAACTCGCAAATAAAAATGTGCATTAAAAGTTTTCACTTGTGTGACTTTTAGCTATCATCACGATCTGTAGCATTGGAAGTTTGATAGCATCTGTTCTCGGCTTCATTTTGGCGTGTGTATGTGATGGACTAAGCGTTTGTGGCTGAGTGGTTAGTGCGTGAGACTCCCAATTTCTAGGTTGAGTAGGTCCTAGCTTCGAGTCCAAGACGCCGAAGTTTTGCTTATTCGAGGCTTATTTTTACTTTTTCTTATTGCTCTTTTTTTAGAACTCTAGAGCTGCTTTTTGTGTTCTCGCTAGTTTTTGCGAAGCGCAGTTTTGCCTCTGTGTATGATATTTCAAAAGTTTTTATTAAACTAAGAGTTAAACTGAAAAAAAGTCTGATGTTTTCAAATTAAATACGCTGGCGAAGTCAAGTTATTTTGCAGATGTTGCCTGCATCCTAATTGTTCAAGTTTTTGAATTGACGTTTTTTTCTGATGCTTCAAAAATTTTCATTAAACTAAGAAAAAAGTCTGTTGCTTTTGAATTCATCACGCTGGATATATCTATTGAAGGCATCAAATGATATACGTACGGGCTATTGAAGAGAAAGAACTAACTTAAGCAGGAGTCTCATACATGAATTCAGTGATTTTGACTATCAAATTGTTAAATATGGAGAGTGCAGTATGCTGCCGGCCGTTTAAGCGATTTGTTTCTGAGTTCAAAATACGAAGATCTGAAACCCAGTAGTTTTGGACATTTGACCATTTTAGTTTAAGAAGAACCTTTAATTTGTAATTTTGTCTCGTTCATTTTTGAAATCTAAAGCATTGTTGGATGCCTTGTCTATTGATACTGTAGCTTTCCTCTATTTGTTTTCATATATTTCATAAAAAAGCAGTAATTTAAAGGTTGCGAAATGTAAACTGCAAAAATGTAAAGGTTACGAAAAACGGGATCGACTTCTCTTCAGAAGTTGTTTTCAACTTTCAGATTTCTTAACGAAATAAAAATTTTGCCTATTGCTCCAGTTTTTTCAAAAAAGGTTAGTTTCATCGAAAAATTGTCAATCATAAACTGATCTAGAATTTCAAAGAGCTTTAAGGCCCTAAGTTTTTTCAAAATTCGAAAGTTGATAGTTTCAAAAAAAGTGTTTTTTTTGTTGCCTTGCGTTCATGACTCTTTTCCAACCGTCTCTTGGCTTTTTCAACTGTCTGTTGGCTTTATTCGTTGCTTCTGTTATAATTTGAACGAAGAGAATGTGGCATTTGCGGATGTTTTGTTGGCGTTGTTTGATTTCCGCTGGCGATTAAATACAGTTTGCTTGATTTTTTTACGGCTCGATGAACGAATCTTAAAACTTCTTCACGCTCAAAGTTAATTTTTCGCGGCTTAACTTTTGATAACTTTTCAAGTTCAGTTTACTTACTTCCTTTGTTAAAAGGAAGGCAAATTCCACTATCGAGGATCAAGATGTGAAGAGCACGAATGTTCACCCATTGATCCAGTTTTCTCAAATTGGGTTAATTTTATCAATCATAAGCTGCACTAGAAAGTGTTTTAGGGGAATATATTCTTTCCGTTCCAATTTGGAAGTTGATTTTTTTTCTCAAAAAGCATTATTTTTTTTTGGTTTCTAATCGTTCATTGACGTTTTTTCAACTGTATCTTGTCTATTTTCAAAAATTCATAAATAAAAGTGAATAACTTCAAATAGTTTTCTTGATGTTTGCGCTCAAGTGTTATCAAATTGAAACTTGTTTTTTTAAAATTTAAATAATTCATTTAACAAAATCACAGAGCCAGTTCTTTCTGAATAATTTTTTTGTCGACACTATCAATTAATCAACGAACAGACATATTTTGATCATGTCTACATTTTAATTTACCGTTCTATGCGAACTTTTTGTTTTTGACTGTAAGGTTACCATCTCTGATATGATAGTCTTTCGGTTTTACTCTTTGTGTTTGTTCGCCTTACACGGTTTCGATATATATATATTATTTCAATTTAAAGGCCTCTTCACCTCATATTGTGTCGTTTGACGAGCGACAGATTTTTTTCATGCCTGTAAGTGTGTGTTGTTGGGGTTAAAAAGTTGTTTATTTTAAGAGATTTTATGCAATTAAAATATATATTGGCTCAACGGGTGTATGCTCTAGTATTGTCTGCTACATTAACGCTTTCGTAAGTTTTGTTCCGATGCTGTTTAAATTTTCAGTTATCTTAATTTATTTGTTTTTCTCTAAGTGAAGACATATCGAGAAAACATATGAAAGACATACTTGAAATAATTTTTGTTAGCGTAAAAGAACGAAGTTATTTTTAATTATTTAAATCTTGATAATTTTTTTGTTTTCAGGAAAAAGCCTCGAAATGCTCTTTTGTGCCCAAATAACTAAAGAAGTGCCTTGATGCATATAAATGCACTAAGCTATAAATGCTTTTTTTATTTGAATTCAAATTCATCTGCTATAATTTAGTTTAGTTGCGCTCTCCAATTAAGAAAGCGGAAATGGCACAAAAAAACGCTTGAGACTTCTAGTTACAAAGTGGATTTTAATTTTTAAATTTCTCAGAAGAATACAAAATTTACTGATTCATCCAGTTTTGTTAAATTAGGGTATTTTTTTTAAGGTGTCAACAATAAATTGTTCTCGAAATTCAAAGAGCTTTAACCTGTTATTTTTAATTCGAAAGTTCAAAATTATTGAAGAAATACCAATCAATTTTTTAGTTTTCTTACACACTTTTTACGCTTAGCACACTTTTAACGCTTCTTACGATTAGCAAGTGATATTAAACCGGAAATAGACTTTTTTCGGGTTAACAACTTGTTAAACAGAATCACTTGAATCATTTTACTTTTGATTAATACGAAATCAAACGTCAGACGTGAATTAACGCATTTGGCTAAGAGCAATTATTCGCAATGATTTGAATCCCGCCAGAACCTGTTTTTTTTGTCAGCGGATAATTGTCCTCGCGTCAAAAATCTTTTTCAAACTTGTTTTTCTGCTTTTTTTGTCGACTTAGTTGCCGCAGCACCAAGTCTACCAAATATTTGGGCATTTTTTACTCAAATTATAAAATATTTTCATATTCAGATGTTGGGCACTTATTTGAGTTCAAATGTTTTTGCTATCTTTTTATTTTATTTTTCATGCTGTTCCTTGAATTTTTTTTGAAATTGCTTTTTGTAAAATTTCTAATGGTGCTGGTAATTTTGTTAGAAGTTTTTTGCCCTTTTTTGAAATTTTTATATTTTTATTAACAAACTTTTTATATAATTTTTTATAAAATTTTTATATTTATATATTGTCTTTACTTTTGCTGGTAATCATAGCCATTCCTTGTTGTTTAGTAAGTAGTGTGAAGCTCGGCCTTGCCTCTGTGTATTAAAAAGGTACACAGTGAAAAATATATATGTTTCAAAAAGTTTTATCAGTTGCAAGTGTAAAAGAACATAGTGATTGTCACTTACATAGGACGTGATTATTGAAAAGTGATCAAATGTGGTTTTCCGATGTGACTATTTGTTTTTTGTCGAGTAGCAAAAGTGTAAAGGTCATAAAAACATCAGCGACTTCTATTTTCAAAAATGGACTTGGTTTTTCTAAAAATTCTTCTCAGCGGAAAAGATGAATTCCCTTTTAATCAAGTTTTCTCTATATAGGAAAAGTTTTTATTAAAATGACAACCATAATTGTTAAAAATTTTGATATATATATATATTTTTGGTTTCCTTGTACGTTTACACTTTATCAACCGTCTGTTGGCTATGTTTTACAAAAAAGAAGGAATTTTTCAGTACAGACGTAAATGAGATCTTGTCATTGGACATCAATCTGACCGTTTTTTAAAATTTGTACAAGCTATTTTGACCCAATTGATGATGCAATAAGCGTATTCAGGAAATAAAGTTTAAAATTGATCTCCCGAAATTTTGACTTTATGCGATTTGATTTTTTCTCGAAAATTAATCAACATTCTTTTGCTAAAAGGAAGGCACAAATCTCCACAATTAGGAAAGCATATTGGCGCGAAACTGCCTGATCGACTTACAAAGTTGATTTTACTTAAGATTTTTCAGCGAAATAAGATAATAATCTACTGATCCATTTTCCTAGTTTGGTTAGTTTTATGAAAAAACTGTGAAACATTCACTTTTCGTTAAATTTAGAGAGCTTCAATGTGATATATATGTTCTTCAAAGTTTGAAAGTTTCAAAAAATTAAATTATTTTTTCCTTGTATTTTACTTGAATTTCCATTTGTTTTTTATTTTCTCCACTCTCGCCGCTCAAGAAGCAATTAGGAACAAATTAGGAACAAACAAATAAGTTTCGTTTCCATGATTCTCTCTGTGATTAACGTCGTATCGTAGTTCAGATTCAGACTCTTATGTTTTTTTTTTTTCAGGAAACGCGTTAAATTTGATCAGGCTCAAATGTAATTTTACCCGGTTTGACTTTTGATTTCTTTTTAAGTTCAGTTCATTTCCTTTATTAAAACAGTTCATTTCCTTTGTACAGGCAAACTGCATCATAGAACAGGAGAAGTGTGTAAAAATCACGAAAAACCTATATTTAAAAAGTTTCATTCATAAATTGTTCTGGAAATTCAAAGAGCTTTAAGGGCATCTATTTTTTTCTTTGAAATTCGAAGGTTGATGTTTAAAAAAAAAATCAGTATTTTTTTCTGTTTTCTGGCGTTCTTTTACTATTTTTTCAACTGTCTGTTGGCTATGTTTCTCATTGTCACAGGAGTTGTGCTAACTGGTTTGGAGTGCGTCAATTTCCCTCCGAATAGACTTCAACTCAATTTATTATTGTAAAGTTAAAACCTTTTTTGCTTAATTTCATCTGAGCATACGATCATCCGGACTTTGAAATTTAGTTTTTGGATCTTGACCTGAATGCGATAGCATTAATTGGTAGTTCAAATCAAATGGATTGTCTTTCCAGTTCAATCGTTTTCAGAGCAGGCGAAGTTAATTTTCGTCATGGAGTTACGGTCTGATGCATTTTAATTATGCTCCCTGTAGATTAGAAAGTATAGACTAAAATTTGGTACTTCGGTGGATATATTATAAGCACTTGCAACCATGCAACTTAGTGTCATATGCGATCTGCAAAAATTTCTACAAAACATGATGCAAAAACAGTGTCAAAAGCTTTAGTGTAGACATTTGTTGCAGACAGACACATTCTAAAATAACACACTTAGAACAAGTTTTGTGCATCCAGTTTTTGGTGGAATTTGCAAAATTGTTAAAAGTGAAGGCCAAATTTATTAGCATTATCTTAGCAGTATAAAATTCTATGTTGACGAAAAACTGGATTAGGTTATGCCGGTTTTTTCATGTTTTTTTAATGCTCACATTAAATTTAACGGGTCAAAGTGATCAGAGAAATTCGTATTTATTTATTCTTACGAAGTGACTGAGGTTAATAGTTAACTTGATATAGCCCAACCGACAGGACAACCAGAGATTGCGCGTCTAACTGTAGACAGAAGTCCCTGTTGCGGAGGAGGGGTGACGTACATTCTGGGAAAACACTTCACCCGACCCACCGTCACATTCGCCCATAGAACCAAACCCCTCATTGCCATTTCTGCTTCCGCCGCCCCCACTTTTCCCGGAGGAGGAATCAGTTCCATGACCCAAGGTACAAATGTCCATGATTTAAAAAGAAACCTTGGTAAAAATGAGTAGAAAATGGCAAAAAACTACGCTAGCTTGAAAGAGACCTTTTTAAATCTTCAAAATAAGGGCAAGCTTAATCTCTACAGGCTTTCATACGCAAGAAGAAATACAAATTGATTCTTTAAAAAATCAGAAAGCTTAAGTTGTTTTCATTGTATGAAATAAGGGTTCGCCCAGACATATGTAAAGTTCAAGCCTTTTAAATTAGTTTCTTCCTGTTATGTTCAGAATCATATCCTAACTTGCGTTATATGAATCGTTACGTGATGCGAAATCTTTGAATATGCTGATCAGCAAAGAGTAATCGTATTTTTTTTTACATGAATTGATCCAAAATGTGTTCTTTGTGAGTTGTCTGTTCTCTCTGTTGTATGGATTGTGGTTTGTGCTTTTAGGCACAGGTGGTCCATATAATGAGGGAGAAACTACCTGGAGTGAAGTGGCGGAGCTTCTCCCTGACTGCGTTTCTCAGGTGTGTACTTGGAACTAAGCTACGCATCCAAACTCCTCCCCCTCGCAAAATACCTTTTCATGCCATTTTTTGCAAATAGGACTTAGACTGTACCTTGATCAAATTTACATACATCAGACTCTATAGGCTCCAAGCTAACTCTGTTTACATGTATGCTAGTACGTGTCGTCTTTGAGGTGCAGCAACGAAACATGAATAAACTGAAGAGGGATAACTTTTATCTACAGTCACACATAATGAAGTCTGTGTTTATTTGGGCTCGAATATTGATGTGTGGGAGGGATTGCTATTGCTTTTTCATGGCTCCATTTTTCATAAAAATGTCAGTTTACTCAGCGAAGATTCAATTATTTCGAAGATCTAGGAGTAAGTAAATTGATTGCTTCAAATTCTGGTTTTCCTAGACATATGTAGGTGTCTATGTTGCGAATAAAGAGGGTTTTGATACAGTTGCGATAAGTCAAATGTGCCTAACCCGGTTAAGCCCGTAAAGAATATTTAATATGGACTCACCAAACCGTCTAGATTTGTATGAATGAGAAAGCGGTTGATTGGGTTCTAATAAGTTAGAGCGAACAAACTGTGTCCACTGTCCTGTTTCACGGAGATAAAATTGTGAACAAATCTGGGATTAGAGGCACCTTCCTGGAAAACAATTGGGCTAATCGCATGTTCGATACTCTCTCTGTTTTATGTATTATTGGTCGATACAAACATTACGTAATATGTAGAGACGTTATGACTGTGAAAACGATATAAACATGTTGAGTAAGCGACCAGTACCAATTTTTTTTAACAGAAAAGTTATGGTCTTAATTGTCAAAGTTTTGAAACTTTGACCGTTTTTCGGAAATTTTTAACTTTTCTCGAAAAATACCCTGCTAATTTTTAGGTTTAGTGTTCAATGAAAGCCGGTTTTGGACATTTTCTCTGCTTAAGCGGCCGGGACCTGCTTTTTGCAAAAAAAAATATCCATTTTTCACCGTTTTGTAGAAACTTCGTGACTTTTCTTAAAAACTATCCTGTCAATTTTTCCTGAAGCTGCGACTCATTCATTTTTTCACAGAAAGGTGATGGTTCCTTTCCCATTTTTTCCCGCAGCAGTATAACAAATTAAAAAATATCAAACTGGTACCTCCAGCTTTAGCTAGGCCCCTAGTTTTTTTTCAAGACATACGAACATTTTGTTAAAAGTAGTGCGAAGCTTCGCCTCTGTGTTAAAAGTGGTCTCAACCTGAATATTTTCGGTTTTCAGACTACATTAGACAAAAATTGATGAGACGCTGACTTCCCCTTGAATTTTAAACGTTATTATCCTGCTAATATTTTATTATTTTTTTTAGCGATGTCTATTTTTTGAAGATCTTCATCTATTTCAGTCACCCTGTGCAAAAATATTAGAATTAGAAAATTTTGAAATAATTTGGAATTTCATTTCCTCAATCAGTCTGGTTGGAGTGAAGAAATCTGAGCTGTTTTCACAGTAACCGGCTATCCTTGTTAAGATTTAGAGGAAATTATCTGCTACTTTTGGGATTTTTTGGGAGCGTACATAAGCTAACCTTCAACATCATCGGCGGCCTGGAATGATTCCTGTCGTACCTGGAAACTGAGCAAAACCTATCTTAGCTCGTCTAAATGGCGGGTCCTGTTTGAAGTTATAAGAGTTCTCTGATACCTCATCTATTTCAATAATCAATTACAGGCCCAGATGTTTTTAGTGCATGTGATGAAGTTTTCATATCGATTAGCAAGGGTAATGCGATTAGCAAGGGTACAGAAACTGGGTACAAGAATTTTTCTCTGGGAACAACTTGGACCACAAAATGGACGAAATGGTAATTAATGGTTGCATACGTGCCTTTGTCCCAAGGGACAAAGGCTTGTCTCTCAATCATTGCGTTATAAATGTTAAATGCTGGCATGATATTTCAGATATAAATTTGTTTTTTTTTTCATGTTGAGTGGAAGCTCTGATTTGGTGTAAGTTCAGTTTTTTCTTGTTATTCGGCTTAGAAGGTTTCGGGATATAAATACCGGCTTATTGGTCTCATATCGCGTCGTTTTTTTTCCGTGCGTGTTTTTTATGCCTGAATGTTTTGAGAACTGGGCTTCCAAATCTTTTTTACTCTTGCGTTAAGCAAGGGTATATCAATCGGGTACTAGACTCTTTTCCCGAAAAAACTTTGTCCTCAGGATAACTGAAATTTAGTCATTTCCAAATGTATCTCCATTTCTACTCAAGATGCACGTCTAACAGCTGTAATTCAAAAGCTGGCTTCAACGATTGAAGTGATAATTGTTTTACCGCTGAAAAACATTATTAGGTGTAAGTTGATATTTTTTGCCGTCTATTGATTTCGACCCAATTTTTGTCGGTATACTTGTTGGTTGTTTATATCTATATTTTTGGTAGATTTTTCGATGATTTTTTCTTCATTTTCATGAGGGTAAATATAGTTCACGGTTTCCTGATTTTTATAAGCGCCAAACTTTTCTCTTTGAAATAAAACTTTTTTGAATTTTTCTGCTGAATTTTTTTGAGGCTAATTATAGTTCATGGTTTCCAGGTTTTTATTAGCGCCAAACTTTTCTCTTAGAAATAAAACTTTTTTGAATTTTCTGATAAATTTTTTTTTTGCAAATAAATTTCAGCTTTTTTCGGATGCATGGTTTCAGTTTTTTTGTACCGAAAGTGCTTGAAACTAGTTTAAATTAGTTAGGTGTGTTTTAGGCTCAAACAATTCTATTTAAAATCGATTCAAGTTGATGGTTTCAATTTGTCAAAAAAATAAGTTTAAAATAACTGGAAAATTCAAAGTTTCATAGAATAGCTTGCAAAGAAAATTTTTAATCTTTTCGCAAGCTGATTTGGTGTATGACTTGAATTGTTTCAAAATTTCTAGCTTAAAAAGCTTGCTTAGTCAAATTTAAGTTTTTCGCGAACTTATTCAGTCTTTGAAATAATATGAGAGATTTCAAAAGTTTAATAGCTTGATTAGCTTGCTTCGAAAATGTCAAAGCTTTTCGCGAATTAATTCGGTTTATGAAATTACTTGAAATATTTCACAGTTGCATAGCTCTAATACCTTGAGTAGAAACACTTAATTATTCGCGAACCGATTCGGTCTACAAACTAACTTGAAAAAATTCAAAGTTTCATAGAATAGCTTGCATAGAGAAGTTTAAGCTTTTTGCAAACTGATTCGGTTTACGACTTGAATTATTTCTAAATTTCTAGCTTAAAAAGCTTGCTTAGGAAAAATTCAATTTTTCGCGAACTGATTCAGTCTATAAAATAATGTGAGATATTTCAAAGTTTCATAGCTTGATTAGCTGGCTTAGAAAACTTTATTTTTTCGCGAACTTGATAGAAAAGACGAGTTTTTTCCTGACATAAAGTTTTTTAGCTGGAGTAGCTTCCTTAGAAACTCTTTAACCTATTGCAAACTGATTCGGTCTATGAAATAACTTGAAATACTTGAAGTCTCATCGCATAAGTGGCTTCAATAGAAAATACTTAACTATTTGTCATCTTATTTGCTACATGAAATAATTTACAATATCTCAAGGTTTCAATCTGGAGTAGCTTGCTTAAAAAGTTTTTAATTTTGCGCCCTCCGATTTGATTCATCAAATAACTTGATTTGCTTTAAAGTTTCATAGATTCAGTTGCTTGATTTGAACAACAACTAACTTTTTGCGAGCTGATTAATCCTTTGGAGAGGATCTTGCTTGTTGGAAACAAACGTATGAGAGTATAGGTAAATCTAGTTTTTTATCTACTTTCGGGTATTATCTCATTTTCTGTCGGCAAGTTTTTAATGCTATGTTTGCGTTGTATCGGAAGTGGCGCGAAGCTCCCCTTTGCATCTCTGTCAAATGTGACTGTAAATTAATAGCTATATTGTATTGTTTAGCACTATCTGGGCTGCAAGATTCCATCCTACCGAGAAGTAAGCATATGCCAACCGGTGTACTGTGAAGTGACTGTGACCAACGGAGACAACAAAGTCAGCGATCCCGCCTTGTTCCTGTACATGCCCAACGAAGGTAAATAATTACAAAACAAACTGATTTTGGACTACGAATTCAGCTTTTTAGTAATCGAATGTTAATAATTCAGACGAGACTTAGTATCATATCCTTGTCTCAGAGTATCCTTATGATAGCTGTAAACGGGTTACGTGGATGTCTTGAAATGGTCTCATGAGTAGGATTGCAAGACATGATTTGAGGAGTTTGGGTCCGGATTTTCTTCTCATGTAAACGATGTCGAACCTAATCCTATAGATACATGGCATGTTTATCCTCATATATTTCTGCAATCTCGCATAAAATGGTAGTCACAGAGTTCATGTGATAAATTTAGAATTTACAAGAACCTTGATTGAATCGTTTGTTTTTGCCATTATCTCTGTGTATGGTCCTAAGAGGTCAATTGTGTTTACTTAAGCTGTCCCACTGGTCGAAATTTGGTACTAGATATGATAGAGAGAGTGAAGGTCATGATGTTAAACAGCTTTCGTTGTTGCAGTGCTGCAAGAAGTGTCTAAGCTAGAAGCGATTCTGTCACTCCCAGCTGCACCCTTGAACCAGTGTCCCATCATGACCATTCCTCCGGCAACTATGGCCCCTAGTGGTATATGTCCGCAGAGTCTTTTGGCGTCTACTGCCAATGCAATGCCCAGCCATGTCATGTCATCGGCACTGTCTGTCTCTGATACATATGGAGGCGGATCCCAAGCGAAGAGGTGAGCAATTCGATTTTAATGGCAATTACTGAAGTATCAGGGAAAATGTCTTCACTCAAACTAGGCTTTTTGTGGCTTTTCTTAATTTCACTGCAAATTCAATTGTTAAAAAAGGACGCATATTTCGTTCTCCAATAAAAAAAGGGCTGAAAATGCCATTGGCGTGAAAAAAAAGCGACTGTTAGTTTCAAAATTGGGTTTTAATTTTTAGATTTCCCATGGAATTTATATACCTAATTATCAAGTTTTTTTTTACTTAAGACTGGTTTTATTTTTAAAAAATCAATAAAGGAATCGTGGAATTCTAAAGGCTTTTTGGTCAATTTTTTTTTTGAAAGTGACCTGATAATAATCTGTCATTATTTTTGATTTTTTTTTTGTTCATTGACACTTTTTCGACTGTCTGTTGGCCTTGTTTATAGTTAGTTACTCTTCTCGTACTACATGACTCAAATATTATTTAGATCCAGGACTTCGCCACCAGATACGGACCAGATGGAGGAGAGTCCAGGTAGTGGCGTCGGCAGTGGAACTGTTACCTCCGAATCCGCCAATTCCAAAGCGAACCCCGCAACTCCTAACAATCCGAACCAACCACACTCTATCATGAGGGACTTCGGACTACAGGCCTATTCAGCAGTTCAGATTCAGACGTTGCAACTCAAAACGGCCGTTCAGCAACCTCTGGGCATGGCCATTAATAACGTATCATCAGCAAACTATGCTAATCAGAATGTGATGGCCGGTGGAAGTAGCAACAAAAATGTACCTGCTATTGTTCAGTCGGTCGATTTGGACGCAAAAACACGAGTGCATTTAATGCCACAACCACCGATGTTCCACATTCCCCAACAGATGTCTCTCAAATCAACTCCAACCCAAGCGGGAATATCGCAGCAGATGCTCCCTGCGGTCCCGTTTTGTGGTACCGGTGCTATTACAAGTATGGCAAACTCGGTGTTTATCAAACCTGAGTCTGAGTTGGTGTCCTGCGGTGCCAGAAGTGTAAACAGCGCGAACGGGACCACTCAGCCCATTGTCATGCCTCGTGGTTTGATCACTCATGTTCCACCATCTCAGAGCGTTCTTCCACATCCAACCAATCTGAGCAGTGTGACTAACTACAAAATCCAGCAGCAAGTATTTCCAACCCCGTGTCTTGGCGGTAACAATGGAAACACAGGAATTTCAGTGAATGATTTGTCACCCGCAGGTCCAAACATACAACAAATGACTCAGGTACACCAGCAAGTACAGATGACGAGCTCAGTTCCAGTTATCACTACTGGCCATTTTGGACAACAAGGAGCGACTGGAGTCCCAATGGATGTCTCTAAGGTTCCATCGTCATCTTCTGTCTTAAATTTCCAACAGATTCCACCATCGGATAGTCCTTCTTCAGTATCGACAGTTTCAACGATTGGAGCTGTTAAAACGGAGGAGAGTCCTTCCATACAACAGCTGAGCATGAGTTCATATTCTCCTGCTGGCTCCAATGGCGGAGCTGCTACTGATATCGACAGCATTCTCAAAGGCTTACTTCTTCTTGGTGCTAACAGTACAAATCCCTCGACATATGCTGCGTTTGCAGTGCAGATATCACAGCAGGTTCAGAAAGACATTATGAAGACTGAACTGAGCGTGATGAACAGTAACCCAGCGTCCGTATCTTCAGTGCAAAATACAGCGGCGCCACTCGATGCTACGCCTCCACCACCGCAGTCGCAGCAAAGCGGAGGCAATGTCAACTCTAACCCATCTTCTGTCAATCAAGTCAATTATAACAGCCCTGGTAGCTCTCAGCCTGCGAATAGCAACCAACAGCAACAAATACAAACGCAGCAGCAAATTCAGGCAGTTCACGCAACTATGAGTGGTAATATCATCCCGGTTTCCCAGATGAGTGGCGTAAACATTGGCGGATCTCAGTTCTCAAACCCCAAAATGAAACTATCGCAAGACGCTCTGCTTGCAGCCACTGCAATTTCCAAGAATCCACAATTAGCGCCGTTTGCACCGCAGTTGATAAGCGCAATTGAAGCTGTACAGCAGCAGCAGATGAACGAATCAAATGCCGATGTTGCGCAGCTTCAGGATTTGCTGCAGCAAGAGGCGATGAAGCTAGCCAGTCTAGCGGAACAGCAGCAACAGCAACATCATCAAGGCCAAAACCAGCAGTACAGCAATGTAGGGAATCCTCCGCTGCAAATGCAACAGAACCAGCCTCAAATTGCGTCGCAGAACAGCCAACAAGCAACTATCGGGCAGCAGTACTCATCACCTGAACAAATACCCCAAGCGGTGCAGCACCTACACGTGCAGCAGCAAGTAGTATCATCGCCTCCCAACCAATCATACTCTCAGCAGCAGCAGCAAAATATAAACCAACAGCAAGCAAATCAAACGCAACACACCTATGCCAATGTCAGCATGACGCCACAGCAGCAGCAACAAGTCCCTCCAATTGTAAGACAACAGTCTTTTACTCAAACACCTGTTCAGACGATGCATCCGCCAGTAATGAGTCAAGTCAGCCAGCATCATAACTTAAACCAAGGTCAGAGTATGAACCAGCAAGGGCAACACCAACATCAAGTGTCTGCGATGCAACAGAATGTCCAGGGTTCTATGGACATGATGAAGCAAGGAACTGTCCACAACCAGCAGTTGAGCAGTAGCAACGCAGGAGTGTTTTATCAATTTCAGACATCGGGATCTACGGTCACATCAACCGTGTCCCAACAGACTCAGATTCAAAACCAGCAGTATCAGCCAAATATTATAAACCAGCAGCAACCATCTCAGAACCAGCAGCCACAACCACAGCAACAACAGGCTGGTTATATTGGGCAGCAGTCCTCGCAACAGAAGCAAAATACAATGCAACATCACCCACAAGCGGCGGGAATAAGCATGAGTCAGCAGCAACCTTTGTATAATAGTCAGCCTATTCAACAAGGACAACCGCAGCAGCAATTCCAACAAGTATATTACAATAACCAGCCGGAGTATCAGTATCAGCAGAAAATCGAACAGCACCAGGTCTCGCAGAGAGAAAGTATACCGTTGTTGGGACCAGGATCTACGGACCAACCACCTCCAAGTGTTAGTTCAGCACCCCCTCCTAGTGTGGCATCTGGTCCTCCGTCGATTGGAGGACCATCTAGTGTCCTTTCGGCTCCTGAAATAAACAGTCCTAGTAGCGTCAACTGCGGGTCTCAAGGGTTGCCGAACCAAGTCAGCTCCTCCATGGGAAACATCTCTGTCAGCCAACAGAACTTTTCACACCAGCCGACCAATTCAGGTCAACAACAGTCAGTATCTAGTTACGTAGTGTATACGCAGTCACAGTCGATACCACAACAGCACCAAGTTTATTACCCAATGGCTCAAAAGGAGATGCATTCGTCCAACATGGACTTGGTCGATCCTGATTTATACAACCCACAGACCCAGTTGAAGTCGAGTTCTGGAGCCCAGACTGAAATTGAGGAGCAGATGTTCAAGGAACCATACCCAGTTGATAACTCACAGAATTCAGACTGGCAAACTCAGCAGCAACCGAGGCAAACAGCAGGTATAGGAAATGTCCAGTATGGAAACCAGATGCAGCAGAATGTGAACGATCCTCAGCATCAGCACCAGCAAAACCAACATCATCAGCAGCAAGCGATGATGCCTCAGAATCAACAACAGATGAACATGTCCTGGGAACCGAATAGTGTCATATCAGGCACGGGATCTCAGTCATCAATGAATTGGGAATCAAGCTCAGGAAGCAATTCCATTGCCGGAGGAACTGGAGGCGTTGCGACTATGCAGCATCACGCGGCCGGACTCAAAAACAGCACCACCGATCCCTTCTTGTCATCTGGAGCTCTCGACTCGAATCAGGTTCAGAAGACTTCTTCTCTGATGGACATTCACCAAGTGTCAACATTCGAGCATGACCAGAACTCGCAAGGCAGTTCGATCTCATCAAATGATTTCCATGACCTCGATTCCATCTTTTCACAAATTGCCCAGAGCCCGCTCTGTACCATCCTCTCAAGCGACTCTCTCCTGACGCCAAGTCCGGCGCCTCCCATGACTCCAGAGGAGCCACCGGCAAGAGGTAAACTAGTTGGCAGTCATACCATTTACATTATCTTTTTATCAATACAAGTTCTAAGGTTAAATTTAGTGTTATCTAGTCATTGCTAAAAGGGAACAAGTGCTGGAACATGTTATCTAGTCATTGCTAAAAGGGAACAAGTGCTGGAACATAAGTCCGTCAAATGATGATCTAAGTGAGAATCGTTTTTTTTTGCTACTAGGCGCAGCTGTACTGAAGTATCTGATTGAGAAGGGTTTCATCGAGGGAGAGCAAAGGAATTTGGTGACTGCTGAGGGAATTGAAAATGCCATCTGTTCTCTCTCCAACCAGAAACCAATCACAGAAATTACCTTCGAAGACGGTAAGATAAAAAGTGCAAGTGAGTGTTTTGGCCTGCAGTAGATAACTCACACGTTTTCACAAGTTTTTAAGAATAATGAACGTATTGAAGACTCTTATATAGGTCTTGGTGATTTTTTTCCGTTTTTTCAGGAAAAAGTCTTAAAATGCTCTAATAACTACAGATGTGCATTCATACATATTAATGCATTTATGAATGCAATTAGCTATATATGAATAGCATTTATGAATGCAATTATTTTTGAGTTCAATTGAAAATCATCTGCTGAAAGTTTCATAAATAGCATTCTCCAAATACGAAAGTGGAATTCAATTTTTAAATTTCCAGAGGAATTTTCTTTTTACTTTTTGATCCAGTTTTCTCAAGTTGGGTTAATGTTATCAGAAAAGCTCCAATCATAAATTGTTCTAGAATTTTTAAGAGCTTAAAGGGCATCTATCTCTTTCTTTGAAATTTGTCAGTGTTTTTTGTGTTTACTTGCGTTCATTACTCTTTTCCAACTGTCTGTTGGCTATGTTAGTTAAGTTTCTATTCCGGCAGGTTGGCTGTTGATTGGAACTAACTTGTTGTTGAGACTCGAAATTTTTTTTTTTCAAAAAAAGTCAGTCGTTGTTGTTCAGTAAAAAAAAAATCCGACTAGGTTATGGACATGCTGATTCAAATGTAGTGATCAACTCATTGACAATATCAACTCGATCAACTTCAAGACTAGACAGTACATGTCGGTTTTTGTCTGAGGGATTTGTGAACTTTATACACTAGTGAGCTTGCGAGCGCAGTGTATTAGTACGTACCTTCTTTTGTTTTCTATTCTAACTCGCAAATAAACGCCTAACTCGCAAATAAACGTCCTCATTAAAAAAAGTGCACTTATTTATTGGCACTTTTGCTTTAATCACGATCTGTAGTTGAAGTTTTTTTTAGCATATGTTCTCTGCTTTGTTTGTGGCTAGTGTTTATGATTTATTAAGCGTCGTGGCTGAGTGGTTAGTGCGTGAGACTCATAATCTCTACGTCGCTGATCGAATACGAGACGTATCTGCATTTTTCGCTTCGACTCTGTGTAAAAGGTTGAAGTTTGAAGCCGAGTACTGTCAATTTTCAGTAACACCTGAAATTTTTGAATCTTATGCCATACGTTTTCTTTGGTTGATTATTCTGGCAATTATGAACTGTGTTTTAATGTTTTCAAAGAAAATTTGCTGTAATTTACATCAGCGATTAGCTTAGTGTATTTTTACGAACTTTCTTTTTTTCGACCCTAACTCGCAAATAAAAGTGTTCATTAAAAAGGTTCACTAATTTGGAAATTTCACTGTAGGATTGGAAATTGCATAGCATCTGTTCTGTTTTTTTTTGTTTCTGGTTTTTGGTACCTATTAAGTGTCTGTGTTTTGTGAGTGAGGTTCTAATTCTCTAGGTCGCAGATTCAAATCTCAGACGTAGCCGAGTTTTACTAATTCGAGGCTTATTTCTAATTTTTCTTACTGCACTTTATAGAGCTGCTTTTTGTCGTGTTCTCACTATTTTTTGCTAAGCGAAGCGTGGCCTCTGTGTTTTATTTTGAAATTTTAAAAAACGAATTGAATTTTTGCATATTGAGGTCTTGTTATTTTTTAACCAGATTTTCACGCTCATTTTTTTCAATGTTTTGACTTCTCATTTTATATTTTTGAAAGGGCTTGTGTTTCCTTAATTTTCATGGCGTAGAGGTAACACGTGGGACTCTGAACCCTAATAATTGGATTTGGACCAGATAATTTTCAAAACTAACAAGGATAGCCGGTTACTGTGCAAGTAGCACAGAATGTTCCGACCATAGTCTTAAAAAATGCAACAATTTTCGTCCAATTAAGTAATGTTTAGGCATATTCGACAGTTCAATTTTTTTCAGAAATTTTTTAAGTTTTTGATCCCTAAGATAGCGCTAAACTTAATTTTCAAGGCTTAAATTTAGCTTAAATAAGTTAATGTAAGCCTGCTCACTCGCTCGAAATCAGACAAAAAAAGTATTTCAAACCGGTTTTTCTCGACACTAGGAAAACTTTCTTGAAAGTTTTAATGTCGTCGAATCTTTTCTGAAGGGGATTTAATATCATATATCACTGAGTTTTCTCAGATGATTATTTGTGGTTGTCGATTTTGCTTGGAAAAAAAAAGAAAAAAAAACCAAAACTCCAGGATACAAAGTTCCTCCCCATTTTCAAATGGTCGGAACAATTAGGTGGTTATCATACTGGAGTTTGAAGGGCTCGATAGCCGAATATCGAGTAAGGAAGGAAGTATCTGGGTGCTAGAAGTGGGCTGAAGAGTGTGGGTGGGGTGAGAGAGAAACGAGAGTGTGGGATGGTGAAATAGCGTGATTCTAAAAATTTTAAAATTTTATTTTGGCTTTAATTATCTTCAATCATTCAATTTACTAAGTAACTTTAGCCTAGATGTAGAATATAAGACATTTGGCCTGATGGCGCGGGTTCCATCCCCGCCTTGATCAACACATTTTCTCAATTTTGATTTTGTTTTTCGTTTTTTTTTTCATTTCAATTTTAAAGGGAACCAGATAAAAGGGATCATTTTAAAAGGGACCAGATCAGCTGATCCATTCATCTGTACTTTCTTATATACTCTTAGACGAATTTTGTCTTTACCTCAAGTTTTTCAAGTGTCGAAGAACGAAGTGACGACAGTTGTTTAGGTTGTTTGGTTTTTCCTGGAAAATTCCTAGAAGTTGAAATTTCCTTGAGTTTTAGAGGTTTGGCTCCTGATTTATTACCCTTGCGATAAGCAAGGGTATTGCAAAAAGGTACTGGATTTTTTCCTGTAAATAATTTTGTTAACAGAAGGGTCAAATTTCTAGAAATTGGTAATTTCAAGACATCCATAATTTTTGAAATATCAAATAAAACTACCGCCATCTAACATTGAAGTCTCAATGGAATGAACAGGTAGCAAGGTTCTGTTCTGCGTACGCAGCTACGCTAAGTTTTGAAAAAAAAGTGTGGCCTCAAAAAAAAGCCAAGTTTTGATAGCTTGGTCATTTTTTTGAAACTTTTCCAAATTTTCTGAACAACTAAAATCTCATATCTGGGGTTAAGAAACAACTGGATGCGGGGATCGTGATTTCACAAACGGCTACGCCGTTATTTTTCATTTATGTAAGTTATGGACTCAAAAAAGACAACTTTTTGACATTTTGACCGTTTTTGTGAAATTTTTCGACTTTGCTCAAAAACTGCCCTCATAAATCTGGGTTTAAAGAATCAATCGAAAAAACAGATTTTGGGAATCCGCCCACCAAAAACGGCTACGCACCAATTTTTGTAGCAGAATAGTATAAATTATAGTATAGCATTTGTTCTCTGCTTTATTTGTGGCTAGAATTTTTGATTTACTAAGCGTCCGTGGTTGAGTGGCTAGTGCGTGAAGTTCATAATCTCTAGGTCGCAGATCGAATCCGAGACGAAGCCGGGTTTTTACTAATTCGAGCTTTTTTCTATTTTTTTTCTTACTGCGCTATATAGAGCTGCTTTTTGTCCTGTTTTCGAACTGTTTTCAAAGCGAAGCTTCGCATGTGGAAACTTTTTTTTTCGAAAACTACCCTGCCAGATTTGATATCAATTGTTTTATCGAAATGTGGGACCGGAGGATCCCTGTCTGAATTAGCTGATTTGGTCGTTGGGAAAAGTCAATTTTTGAAAACTTTTCGACTTCTTTCGAAAAGAAACCCTGGCAGTTTTTAGGTTAAGGGTTCTGTTTGTGAGAATCCTCTCTGCGTAATCGGCTACATAATTTTTTTAGTATAAAGAAAATGTGGCTTTTCGGGTTTTTTCGAGCACTTTTTGACTGTTCTCAAAAACCCTGCCAATTTTAACATTTAATTGTTCAAGTGAAATAACAAATTTCGGGCTTCTTCGCTGCAAAAGCTGCTGTGACCTTTTGTGGAAAACAAGCTATAGCTATCGCAAAAGTCAAATCTATTCATTTTTGGGACCGTTTTTGGAAATTTCTTGATTTTTTTTTTGCAAAAACTACTCAGTCGAATCTGAGATTGGGTGTTCAGTCGATGGAACAGGTTTGAAACGTTTCTTGCAGAAATTTTCAGCCCCTAATTTTAACGAAATTTTGGTGCGTAGAAAAATCCATTTTATGAAGTTAATACCGTTTTTGTGTTTTCAAATTTCACTGTTCTAGAAAACTAAACTGCCAAATCTGAAAGTTCAATCGAATGACTGGTTATGGACATTTTCCCTATAAAAGTAGTTCCGAGGAGTCCAATCGAAACAACAGTTCGTTCAGTTGAACCAACCGTTTGGGATTCTTTCCTGCAGAGACAGCTACGCCTTATTTTTTCGTAGAAAGTTTTAATGACAAAAAAGTCGAAAAGAAATTTCGATAGTTTTTTTTGGAATTTTCGTTTTCTCAAAAATTGCCCCGCCGAATCGGCGTTTGCATGATTCAATTTAACGAATATTGTGTTGAGATTATTCCTGACTAAACGGTTACACCTTATTTTTATAAACAAAAGCAGGTATGATTTTGAATAAGTCCATTTTTCCAAAGTTATCGCTTTTTTGAAAAATATTCCTTTTCTTGAAAACTACCCACTCAAAATTATTGTGAGTTCCTCTAAAGAATGGAAAGTAGGCTTTCCCCTACATAAGCAACTAATCTCTTATTTCAGTAGAAATCATTGAAGGTATGGTTTCAGACCATTTTTTGAAGTTCACGCATTTTTTCCCGCATTCTGTAGCACATGCTCTAGAAACTCCTAAAAGTTTAAAGCTCCAAATTTTTTTTACGACAGCATTTTTTTTCCGGCTCAATAAGCTCAATTTTTTAAGAGGCTCAATTTTTTAAGAGCTTAAAGGGCATCTATCTCTTTCTTTGAAATTTGTCAGTGTTTTTTGTGTTTACTTGCGTTCATTACTCTTTTCCAACTGTCTGTTGGCTATGTTAGTTAAGTTTCTATTCCGGCAGGTTGGCTGTTGATTGGAACTAAC